ACATAAAAATGGCGGATTTCGATTTAAAATCGAAAAGAAAAGAATTTTATTTTATTTTGTACGCGAATTATTCAAAAGTATATATCATCGTACGAATACATATATATATATATATATTTAAATTATTTATTTCATCCGTGTTTAATAAATAAATAGATAAATAAATAAGTAAAAACAATGTCGCAAAACAATATACTTATATTTAAATAAACGTTTTTATTTTAATGTCAAAAATTCTTACCCTGTATGTTTTTATTTTCGAATCGATTCCATCGTTATTTGATATTAAATTTAATTTAACATTTTCATCATCATCATCATCATCATCCCTTTCATCATCGTATTTTTTTGTAGTGTTACCTGTTAAAAACAAAACACAAAAAATGATTTTAAGTAAAAAAAAAACCGTCAAAACCACCAAAACCGCGACAGAATAAAAATTTGAAAAATAACGGAAAATCTACCGCCCCATCTACGCCGACCCCTACCGTTAAAAAATCGAACGTAATCATTTCGACAAGGCGGTGATAATTAATTTTTCGCGGATTTCATAAATAATATCTATTAAAAATCCGTTTAAAAAAAAAATACGTTGGGAAAATTTTCCATTAACTTTTTTTATATATTATTAACGTCATTTATTAAATGCCTTATAAAAAAAATTTCGCTTTTAAATATCCGACAACATTTTCAACTCTATAATTTTCGTTCGATTTGCCAAAAAAAAAAAAAAAAATCGAAGGTTATTTCATTTGTTTTTTTTTTTTTGCCGTTACGAGGACGTCAAACTTTTATTATCATTATTATTATTATTTTTCTATTTTATTTAACGATGATGATTGAATTTTATTATCATCATCATCATCATCGCCATCATAATAATAATATGTATTTATTTAATTTTTTTTTTTTTTGTAAAAAAAAAAAAAAATGGCCGTGAAATAACCTGTTATAAATTTCCGTTTTTTATTTTATTATTTTATTATTCGTTCGATCTTTGTTCTTATTTATTTATTTATTTAAAAATAAAAATAAAAAATGTTTAATACATAAATTTTTATTAATACATTTATTCCCTTGATAGAATATATATTAAGATTTAAACAAACGACATTTTCCCAATAATAATAATAATAATAATAATAATTTTTCTTTTTATTTATTTGCGTCCTAGAAAAAAATTTTATTACGATATTAAACCCTTTGTTCCCCTCACCCCTCACCCCCCCCGGCTTTCTTTCTCTTACAAATAATAATAATAATAATAATAATAATAATTTTTTTCCTCCTTGTCAAAAGATTTACTATTTTTAAATCATTATTATTATTATTATTATTATTATTTTGGCTTTCAAACGTGTATTGTATGAATTTTTTATCTCGTGTCGTTCCAGATTTTTAAATAATAATAATAAAGTCACGTGACAAACGCACACATTCCATAGAGAAAAAAAAAACAAACAAAAACAAAATCGTTTCGTTCTTTTTTTTTTTTTTTTTTTTGTATAAAAACGTGGGAAAAAGTTACATAAATAAAAAAAAAAAAAAAATGATAAATTAATTTAATAAGAAAGAAAGAAATAGAAAGAAATAGAATGTTCTACAACAATCTACTAAATCTTCCACAAAAAAAAAAAAAAATAATAATAATAATAATAATAATAAATTTTAAACATGTACTACTGTTTTGTTCGCCATTTTCTTTTCCCTCCATTTTTCTTCTCTCTCTCTCTTTTTTTGTTTCGAACAATAAAATAAAATAAAAAGAGATAGAGAGAGAGAGAGAGGGAAAGTGAGAGGGATGAAATATTAATGACATTGACCCTGAAATTATAATAAATATAAGGAACCCATGGACCAATGACCTACGAAGGCAAAACGCCAATTAAATTAAATTAAATAAATAAAAACAATTTTGACCCCTGCAGACATTTTTTTTTTAACGGACACCTGCTGTTGTTGGTGTTGTTTTTGTTTGTTTTCTTTCAGGGGCACGCACGCACGCACGCACGCACACGCACACGCACACACACGATTTGCTATCGTTTAAACTTACAAACTCTTAACGTGGGCCTCGGTATTCTTTTCAATCTCATTTTCACAATGATCAAAAATAATAATAATAATAATAATTATTATTTTCTTTTCTTTTTACAATCCATGTCAACACGCGTATTAACACCCACGTGACTTAATAATAATAATAATAATATATACTATAATAATAATGATGAATTAATAAAAAACAAATATGTCACAACCGAGACTGTAAAAAAAAAAAAAAAAAAAAAAACGTTTTGTCTTTGTCGAAAACAAAGAAAAAAAAAAAAAAAAAAAAATTTTTTTCTGCAGTTTCGAAAAAAAAAAAAAAAAAAAGGAAATAGTCAATGTCGTACATGTCAAAAGGTCATTTGTGTTTAACCTCAAACTAATATGCATTTCTAATTAGCGCAAAACAACCAAACAACAACCATAAGCTTTCATTTTTCTTTCTAATTATTATTATTATTATTACTATCATTATCCTTCCTCTTCTTTTTCCTCTGGAATTATTATTATTATTTTATTTTCCAAAATATAATATATATATATATAACGTCACGAAGTTTTCCCTTTTTATTAATCAATAATTTTCCTCCGAGTTTAACCGATAATAATAATAATAATAATTATCGAATAAGATGATTTGTGGATGACTTACAATAATTGTTGTGATGTCATTTAAACGTTCGCATGCAGCAGCAGGAGCAGGAGCAGGAGCATCATCATCATCATCATCATCACCACCACTGTTATTCCTTAAGGATCGACATGTAAAAACCTGGAATAATAATAATAATAATAATAAATAAAAGTTATAAACGCTTAAAATGATAAAGACAAATATTACTATTCGTTCGACGTATTGAAGGACAAAAAAATTATTATTATTATTATTTTTAATACTATTTCAATTAACCGAAAAAAAAGAGAGAGACAGAGAGAGGAGGAGGGAGGGGAGGGGGGGGAAATTCGCCCACGGTAAAAATATTTTCACCCACATAATATTTTTATTCAAATCGTGAATCAAATCGAACAAAGATTTATCCAAAACGTCTACGCATATAGGAAAAAAATCAAGGACTAACAGTTTATCCGGAGGGAGGGAAGGAGCGAGGGGGAGGAGGGAAGAGGGAGGGGGAAAACCGACTTCCATAGAAGAATACACACTTTGAAACATTTAAGAATTTTCTTAATTACGGTCCGTTTAAATTTTTTTTTTATGTAGGAAATCGATGAAAAAAAAAAAAAAAAAAATAAAGACAAGGTCGTCAAGTAATGGAAACTTTCATTTACGTACGTACATAAACACGCACGCACGCACACACTTTGAGATGATCGTTGTTTACGTAAAAAAAAAATCTTTTATTTTTCTAGTTTTTTCCTCTTTTCCTTCTTCTTCTTCTTATACCTGAAAAATGGGAAAATTATTATTATTATATTCGAATTCCTTTGTTTTTTTTCTTTATATAACGACGTACGTTTTTAATTTTTAATTTTCCAATTTAAATTTTCTTCATGTTTGTGTGTCATTGTGATTCACAAATACGCCATGATTAAAATTCGTTGATTATTTAAAAAAAATAATAATCCGGAGCCAAATTTGTTTCCCCGCCCCCTCCCCCTCCCACGACCAAAAATTATAAAAAACTGAAACAAAAAAAAAAACAAAAAAATTAAATTTCAAATTTATTACAGAATAATTTTTTTTTTTAAATATCCACCTTATAAAAAAAACAAAAAATTTACCTTTAATTGTTTTCATTTCCTTTTCCGGTATTGAAATTTAAATTAAATTTAAATTTAAATAGCAAATTCATTTCGTTAATAAATCCACTTCCTTGTCTAATTTACAATTAAATTTTTTTCTGATCTTCTTGTCCCCTCCCCTCCTACCCCCCAAATTTTCTTTTAAATTAATTAAAATTATCATTATTACTATTACTATTACTATTATTATTATTATTATTATTTCTAAATAACATTTAAAAAAATAAATTATTATTATTATTATTATTACCTACTCTTATAAATATACAATACAATTTTAATCGACCAATCACAATCTACATAATTTATATTTTTAATTAATAATAATAATAATAATAATAATATTCAAGACGATAAATTATTAAAAAAGACATCCATTATAATAATGATAATAATAATAATAATTGTGATTAATTTTAGAAAATTACATAAATTCATTCATTATTCGCACATTTTAAATTTTTAATAAATTTGGACCCTAATAACATAGAAATTTGTTTTTTTTTCCCCTCCCCTTTTCGGGGGAGGGGGGGATTTCATCCCTTCTTCCTTCTTTTTAAGTAAATTAATCCCCTTTCTCCATTACGATTTAAAATAATTAAATAAATAAATAAATAAAAAATTTGAACGAAAAAAATTCGACATTCACTTATTATTATACTCAATTTATTATTAACACGTCATCGAAGTTTTTACTACTACATTTGTATAAAAATTTTTTTTACGCATAAACCTTCGTGTACCTATCACTAAAATAAACCTTTGTGTACCTATCACTAAAATAAACCTTCGTGTACCTACGCGTGTGTGTTTACGTGTGTATGTGTGTGTGTACAATTAATACTTGTACATTTTGGCACATTTTCCTTCTTTTAATTCGTTAAAAAATTTTTTTTTTTTGTTTTTTGCTGCAAATAACCTTAAATACATAAAATAACATTTAGTAATTTAGTTTTTTTTAGTTTTTTGTGCTCTTGTTTTATATCGGACTAATAATTTTATTTTGTCCGATAACACTTATCATCTACTTAATAAAAATAAATTAAATTTTTTTAAAATTTTTTTTAAACTTTGAGAGATTTTTTTGTTGAATTATTATTATTATTATTATTATTAGAACTTAATATTTTTATTATTCTATTGTTTAGCAATCCGTTAAATTTAGTTTTTAATTTATGTATAGGTTGAGTTCAAGAATTTAAATAATTTTTCAACCATCTATAAATTATTTCACCGTTTTCTTGTACCCAATATATGTTGAGCCTGATCGTTTCCAAACTTTGATCTAATGCATTTTGACCCGAACCTACGTTCATTTTGCTAAAGAAATTTTGAACCTGAAATATAAAAATTAGGAAAAAAAAATGAAAATCACGTGATAAAACTTGTAGGTTTTTTTTTTTTTTTTTTTTTGATAATTATTATTTTACTTCATCGTGATCGTATTCCGTGACGAAATCCGACGTGACGGCCGATATGATGCTCCCGATTGTGAAAGTTCCATTCCCGAACATCGATTGCATGTAATGCCAGTGAGCTTTAAGGTGTCTCCAAGCCAACAGCTGTCCTTCTGGATTGAAAGCCACGACCGATAACGCCGTTTTCAAATCCTGAGGTTTAACTAAATTTCTATCCAGTGTTGCTTTCAAATACCTGTTAAAAACCCCCCTCCCCCTCCGTTAATTTACGATCAAAAGTTTTTTTTTTTTTTTTTTTTTTTCGGGTTGTTGGGTTCGAATACCTTTTCAAGATCCACGGATCGCTCGACATTCCCAAAGCTTTGAGCAATAATTTTCTTTCGCTTGGAATTCCGGTGCTTTTATATTTATTCCAACAGTATTCCCATTCCTTTTCGCCACCGTATTTAATTCCCGCCGAATAAATGACTTCTCTGAGATTGGGAGGAGTCCTTTCTCCCTTTTCCATCCATTTTTTAAACTTTGTAACCGCGTCCTTGACGGTTTCTGGAACGTTACACAATATCGCCGAAGACAATATGTCCGATCTCATCAATCTAAATAAACAAACGATTAAAAATTGTTAATTTTTTGTAAAATTTCAAGTCGTAATAATAATAATATTTAATTTTACTTTGTTAAATGTGGTCCGACGTCGTTCCAACCGACTAATTTAGTCGCCGGAGTTAGTATGACTCTCATGAATTCGTAAAAAAGTTTATATCCGGACGATTCGACTAAACTTTTACTCCACGATTGAAAATGTTTCAGGGCTGTGGCCCACGGGACGTAATCCTTTTCGTTTAAAAGATAAAGTGAAAGTTCTAATGGTATCGTAGCGTTTAGTATTCCTGCCCTAAAAATTTAATTTGACTTCTTCACTTTTTTTTTTTTTTTTTTTACAACTCACTCTAAACCTTATACCTGTTCAATGTAAAGGCATCGTCAATTAAACTCGCTCTATCGGCCGGACTAAAACTCGAGGGATCCTTTTTTAGCGTTTGAATGATTGACATCCACATATCTTCGTCGTAGTTGACTCGATAGAAACCCGATTGATTCACGTTTGCTTTTATCCATTTTGTTTTTTCCGATATTTCAAAAGTGACTGGAAAATTTAAAGTACTTTTAATTTAATGCACGCATTTAAAAGGGAAATAATTATTTGACGATGGAAAAACCAACTAACCGTCACTCAAATTCATCCAAACGTGGCGAACATCCGAACGATCAACGTTCGTGTAATAGCTCAATGGAACATACCATTTATAATCGAACGGTGATACGATATCATTGTCAACGGTATTATTATTCATAGTTCCCGTCAATAGGAATCTACTTTGACTCGCGTAAATCGTATTTTCCTTTCTGGTTATGGTTATGAGAGGGAATCCCATTTGTTTCGTCCACGTATCCATGACGGTTTTAACTTGTAACGATTGATTATTATGCTTGCTAAAGGCAGACCATAAATCTTCGGTATCTGCATTTTTAAACATGTACGTATTTAAATAATCATTTAATCCAGATCGTAGCGTATCCTCTTCCAAAAACTTTTCCAGCATGTATAAAATTGCCGCTCCCTAAAATTTATTAGTAATTTTTTTTTTAATTCGAGAATTTCGTGCCGGAATAAAAAAAAAAAAAAAAAAACCGTTATTACTTTGCTGTACGATATGGTGTCGAAAATAGCTTCGATTTCAATAGGATTATGAACGTCAACTGATATGGGATGACTTGTGGCCAAAGCATCGAGATCTAAAGCCGGTTGCGTTTTAACTAATATAAACTGATCCATCATTTTCCAATTGGGCATGACGTGATCCACGCCGGTGTATTCTAAAAAGCTGGCAAAGCCTTCATTCAGCCAAAGGTCGTTCCACCATTTCATGGTAACCAAATTACCAAACCACTAAAAATAAATAATACAAATATAAGAAGTTAATTAAGAAAATATGTATTTAATGCAATCAATCAATCAATCAATCAATCAATCAAAAAAAAAAAAAAAAAAAAAAAATGGGGGAGCCAACGGCACGTGGTGTTCCCAAGCGGTCACCCATCCAAGTACTAACCACGCCCGATGCTGCTTAACTTCGGTGATCGGACGAGAACCGGTGTGTTCAGCATGGTATGGCCGTTGACGTTTACCGAAGGCAAATTTATTAAACTTAAACTTAACTCGTACAATAATAATTCTTTTTCAAATATTTTTTTTATAATTTGATGTAAAAAAAAAAAAAAAAAAAAAAATTTCCGGGAGTTTATGAGAACCTGAAAAGTTTTCTACAATACAATAATGTTGTATTGTGGCTTTTAAAAAAATTACCTGATGAGCTAATTCATGAGCTATAACGATAGCTACCCATTGATGAGCTATAGCAGATGTCTCTTCTTGATCGTACAAAATAGAAGTTTCCCTGTAGGTTATTAAACCCCAATTTTCCATGGCTCCAGCAGCGAAATCAGGAATGGCTATTAAATCTAAAATAATTTACATTTAGTCAACTGTTAAGACAAAATGTAAATAAAAATTTTTTAAAGCAAATTTTAGCACTACCTTGCTTGGGTAAAGGGTAATCGACGCCAAAGAATTCTTCGTAATGATCCATCATGATCGTGGCAGTATCAAGAGCAAATTTTGCTTGTGATATGAGTTGTGTGGGAGCATACACGGAAACGGATATACCTTTTTTTGTTTGACTAGTTGTGTGATTGTAATCGCATACAACAAATGCTACTAGATAAGTACTCATTTCAACTGATTCTTCAAAGTCGTCCAACAGCTGCATGGAAATAAAAAGAAAATGAGCAGCCGTAGAAACATTTAGAAAAACTCTTTTTTTCTGTTAAAAAAAAAATACTAACCAATCCAGTACCCATGTAAAAACCAGCATCTTCTGTGTTATAAACTGGCATGTTAAATAAGGCAATATGAAATCTATCTCGAACTATTGACATTTTAAATTTGGCTTTAAATTGAGGTTCATCAAAGCAAGGAAAAGCAGATCTAGCATATGTAGGTTCAAAATGAGTAGTGGCCAAATACCTGAGTGCGACATAGTTTTAAATTAATTTACATATTTTTGTAAATCGATAGTTTAGAATACTCGAAAAATCATTAATAGATAATTTTAAATTTAAAAAAAAAAACAAAAAACAAAAAAGTTTTTAATGTTACCTTGTTTCTCCTTTTTGATTAACATAACTGCTGATGTAAAATCCCTCTAATTCTTTTCCAAGTTGAGTCTTATACCTGATATTTAAACTATAATTTGACCCGACTTGAAAATTTTCTTTTAATTCAATATAAACTTGTTGTGCTTGTGTATATTCTAAAAATTTTTCTATTTCTAATTCTTCTCCTGTATTATCTACAACTGTTTTATCCAATATAGTTAAATTTTTACTGTGCAAAACTATGAAATTTGTTTCTTTTTTAACATTAAATTCAATCGTGACTTGCCCCTTTACAGCAAGAGTAGTCAAGTTGGGATGTATGTGTATTCTATATCTTAACGGGATTAAGGAATCAGGAAGTCTAACATTATTCCAAGGAAAAATTTCATTATTGGTAGCTACTGGAATTGTAGGTCCGGAATCATCATAATCATAATCTAAGTTATCCGGTCTTTTTCCTGCACAAGGGCAACCTAAAAATAATAATTTTATTTTTAATTTTAAATTGAAAATGGAAATTATTTTATAAAAGAATTTAAATACTAACGAATTCCAGCATATGCAATGATGACTGCAATGCCGAAAAGAACAGCGAATGCAATTGTTGCAATAATGAGAGCTCTCCTTTGTGAACAAACTGCGACTCCATTACGTTCATACAGATTTTGTTTAGCCGCAGCAGCATTTTCACCTAATTTAAAAAAAAATTTAATAAATTTTTTTTTTTGTTAAAAATAGTAAAAATTTTAATTTAAAATTAATCTATAAAATACAACAATCAATCTTTTTCTATTTTTCGACTAAAAATTTTTATATTTCTACATAAAAACTAATGAGATCAAAGTATATACCATTAACTAAATTTATTTCGAATGAAAAACAAAAAAAAAAATTATCGAAGAATCATTATTAAAAAACTACTTTAGCTTCACTATTAACTTACAACATGCATGAGGAAGGGATAATAATATGTAATTAATCAAACCTGTTAAAAAAGCAATGTCATCAACATCCTGATCACTCATGATAAAATCCCGTCTCCAGACTACGGTTTCTACCTCTAACGATTTAGAAACCACAGATTTTTTAATTAAAGGTGATTTAATGTGATTAGCCAATGTTAAAGAATAATTTATGACTTTTTACGAGTGAAATATATTTTTATTTTATAAATTAACTATTAGTTGAATAGCTTACCCACAACCTGGACCCATATCAATCCAATGAAAGCAATAGAGCAGTAAAATAAGCAAAAATAAGCATTAAGCATTAGTTTTATTGTGCTTTAGTGCTTTATGAAAGGTAAAAATATATATATATATATATATTTAGTTTAATTAAAAAAAAAAGTTAATAATTTTGTACTTGTGGTTAGTAGCAATTACTAATCAATTATCAAGATTTGAGACTTAAGCTCGATATAATAATTTTTTACAATTATGTGTGTGAAATTAGAGGTTAATAAAATTTTAATTTATTCCTTATGATAATAATAGTTATTATATAGTTATTATTTTAAATAATCAATTATGGCATTAATTGTACACTTACCGATTTAAAAATGACAAAAACCGGTCGTTTATTTCGGTAAAATATAAAAAAAAAAAAAAACTAATTAATCAAAATTAATTAGCGGCAGGCATTAGCAGCTTAATTAATCTGAATTATTAAAATAAAATTCTTTAAGAAATTCACTTTTTAAGTATGCATACTACTAAAAATATAATAAAATAAATGAGAAAATGAAAAAGCAGTTACTTCTTGGTAAAAGAAAGCTTATTATATCTTTTCTAATAACAGATTTATTAAAAGTGTTGCCAACATAAATATTAGGCGGCGGAATAATAATCGATAAATTCAAAGGAAAAATGGTTTCCACATTAAAGGAATTATTAATTTATGGTTTTTCCCCCCTTTCCCGACTTGTAAAAATTCATCCTACGCGACATTAAATTCTTTTTTTTTATTTTTAATTGTCTCGTATTTAATAAATGACTGACATTTTGACGTAAGTTTTAATTCCTAAATTTAACTCTCATTAAAACAAAAAAAAAAAAAATTGTAAAAACTTACGATCATATTTTCTATATCGATAATCATTCTTAATACTAACTAAAAAATAACGAATTAATTTTTACTCATAAATTATTAATTTATTATTATTAATCACGTGTTAAAATTATTAATATATAGCAAAAGATTAATTTTAATTATAAAAAAAATTAATTAATTAGTCATTTAAATAAATGATAACAAAAATTAATTTATGAAAATTTTAAAACACTTTGCCAATTAAATAATATTAATAAAAAAAAATACTTTTGGGATTCCCCTAAATAAAATTTTTTTTTTTTTTTTTAAATAATTAAAACAAACTTCAAATAATAATAATAATAATAATGTTTTAATAAATTTAAAACACACTCGGCGAATAAAAACAAACGAGAAAATGAAAAAATTTATATCAAAATGGGCGGCCATTTTAATAAATTCTAATCAACTTGTGTGATAAAAAAAAACAAAAAATAAATTATCAAATCGTTATTTATAACAAATCAATCAAGTTTGTTTTGTTTGTTTGTTTGTTTTGTTTTTCTTAAAAAATTTAACACAAATTTAAATAACCTTCATAATAATAATAATAATAATAAAATTTTAAGTCTATATAAGCTCATTAATTAATTCCTTTTTTATTCACATTTTCACTCTTTAATTATTCATTTAAATTGTTAAAAATTTAACATTTTTATTATTGTTGTTTGTTTGTGTTTGTAACAAAAAACATTCATACAAACGAATCAAC